TATGATTGGACCGTACTAATTTGAAATAAGAGCACAAACAGTTTTGTGCTCTTATTTTTCGGGCCGTTTTTGAAGCGCTTATCGGAAATCTAGTACTATTATTGATCGAAGCTTACGCCACCATGAGTATTTCTAATACCTAATGGTATATCGTTCTTAAACATATATATTTAATATATAAAAGCATATTACATGTATGAATAACATATTACTAAATAGTAATATTATTAAAAGTATTTTAAGTAAAAAAGGGCATTAAAAAATAGTCGTAAGTGAATCCTACAAATATTGAACGACGTACAAAGCTGTAACTTTTGTTTTTACCCATTTACAGCGATGACATCAATTTTTGTTTAAAAAAGTAATTAATGTACAAAATAATCACACAATAACCACAATATTGTTTTCCTTGATATATAAATTTTGATATTGCCACTGTCATCTTAAGATTTTTCGGAGGAATAGCTCAATCTCAACGCTTTCTTTAAAATTTAGGGACTCTGGAGTATTTACGAACTGGTTTGCTTCTGTCCATCATATTATATAAGCTGAAGAGTTTGTTTGTTTGTTTGTTTGTTTGAACGCGCTAATCTCAGGAACTGCTGGTCCGATTTGAAAAATTCTTTTAGTGTTAGATAGCTCATTTATCGAGGAAGGCTATAGGCTATATATCATCACGCTAAGACCAATAGGAGCGGAGCACCAATGAAGAATATTTCAAAAACGGAGAAAATTTATTACTATTGAGAGACGCAGACGAAGTTGCGCGGGTCAGCTAGTTTAAATATATATCTCTAGACGAATAAAAGCTGACAGTAGAGGATTTTACACACAAAATTTCGTATTAATCTCGCCTTGGTAATGAAATCACCGAGCTCAAAGTGAAGATGCCGCGTAAAGGAACGAACGTGGCACATGCGCCCTTACCTTTGTTCCCTACCCCACCGATAGTATGTTGTAAAAGGACAAACGGTACAATTCGCCTGTTTACGTATCCTCGATCGTTAGATTCACAAGATATTTGTATATTGTATATATTGATTCAGAATATTTTTAATATATTCAGAATATTCAGGATATTTTTGTATATATTGATTCAGAATATTTTTTTGTTAAACTATTATATAGAATATAACTTATCTGAGCCATTGCGATAAAAGTAGTAAAAAGACGGATGTGCCGCTTTCGCCCATTTACGTAAGACCCACCGATACCATACATTGATATGTCAAAAAAAGGTCACAATACAAATGTCAAACTTTTCATTTATTCTATAAATAAAAAGTTTTTTGACCCCAGTCCTTATTTATTATTTATATTATTCAGTAATTGATTATGTAAATTTGTAAGTTTATTTTAAACCAATTTGAATATGCTTATCCAAGTAAGCAAGATAAGCATGTTACCTGTACATAAGTCATCAGCTCTTATTTGTATGTGTGGAAACTCCCTCGGGCCGTCACCGCACTGGGGTTTGCGGCGAGGTGGTGTGTCGGAATGGAACCGACGAAAACCACACGGTGAGCCACTCTGCTCATGTTATAAAAGGGATTCGGGAACTGCTTTGCTAAGGAGGGAAGTGGATTTACTGTATTTCCAACTCCTCCAATTTTCTTCTGATTAATTTCGTTGCGGGTTCCAAGACAGTTTAATTTCTTCCTGGGACTTCGGTGTGTTCGTGGGTCACTGCTGTGGATCCTGGTGTGAGTTACAGTGGTGGGCGTGTGGGTGGGACTAGTCCCATTTCAAAACTGCTGTTATTAAGACATTTGGAAAGTCATCATTTCTAAACTAGATTTAACTCCCATAAAGATAGCTTGATAAAGATTACTGGTAAATATGACGCTTTTGCAAATATAAAGAATCTTTAAAATGGAAATATATTCTTTTAGCATTTTTAGTATTTTAGTAAGTAGTAATGAGCTTCCATTCGCGAATTTGTGTGGCATTGAAGAGCACGTTCATAAAGCGGCGTCAGTTCCCATGGTGTTCTTCTACGGATGTTCGAGGTTATTAAAAAGCATATTCTTCTTTCAACTTCAGAAAACTCACTAAACTCTGTCTAGGTGGTTAACGTCTACGTTGTAAGGACCCTGTTCTCACAAAACAAAGCCCAACACCAAATTTGAGATAACCAACCATTTTAGATGGTAGAAGGGAGGATATCACTTAAATAAAAATAATAATTGGGCCTGTAGGCCACTGTTATGAGGCTCATCTTAAACACCAGTATTAAGAGGAATCTCAAATTGCAGGATTAAAAGGTTGCTGTAAATTTACTGCACGTTTACGTCATGTAGCTGAAAATTAGTCTCTTGTTTCGTAACGACTTTTATCATTCCTAGTCATAAAAATATCATAAAAACAATAAAGATGAGTATTTATTAAGATTCGCAAAATTATAATTTAAGTTAAGACTAACAAAGCTGCATTCGCTTGATATCGCCTCAACACTTGGCCTTTTAATTTATTACAATTACAGTAGAATCCGTTTATTATGTCTCCGCCTATATTGACCGATCGCTTATTATGAAGTAATAACACAGCGAAGTTTGGATTTCATTATAAAATTATTTACAACTAAGTCGGATATAATGACTTCGCTTATAGTGACATGTCGCTTATTGTGACCCATTTTTAATAAATTGCGTCCTGTTATAGTCGGGAGAGTCACGTGATACCCGATGACGTTCGGCGCGTGCACGGCTTTTTAACCGACTTCCAAAACACAAAAGAGGAGGTTCTCAATCCGTCTGTATTTTTTTTTTTTATGTATGTTTGATACGCGATTTCTCCGTCAATTGTGGACCGATTTTCAAAATTCTTTTTGTAATCGAAAGGGTATGCTCCCGAATTGGTCCCATTACCACCAATTCAGGATCTGATGATGGGATCCTAGAGAAATCGAGGGAAACCCTCACAATTATTGGGAATTTGACAGCCCCGACAACGTGTTTTAGCTACGAGTATTTCTTTAGCCAAACAAACCATGGCAACCGTCAGAGACTGCGCGATGTGATGCGCAGAGAACTTGCAGTATTTATGTCACCACAGTAATTTTCGTTGTATTAAGAAGAAAAGGTTGAAATTTCGTATTCTATCTTGTTAAAATAATTCGGATAGACGTTTTGTTGCTATGGATGGCATCGCATTTCGTTTGTAAGTAATTTTATACTTATTTTATTATACTTAATTTACTTAAATAGTTCTGGAAAAAACTCTTAAACTTTGTGTGGGTCAACTTTCTAAGGAGAGGCCTATGTCCAGCAGTAATTTAATATAATATTTAATATAATCTAACAAACTACAGTTTGTTACTATACATTACGGTACGTAGTGTTTTAAATATCCTACTTATCTACTCATTACAAACATATCCTACACTAAAAATGGTAAAATAAACCCTTTTAAAAAAAAAGTTGCACCGACTTCAAACAGACTAGAAGGGACTATTGGTATTATAATGTTACCTGTTACATTGAGGGTACTTATTATAGTTTTTTACTTAGATTTGTAATTATTTTTTAATTTTTTGTGCTCTTTGTCGGTGTTGTTTGAAGTCGGTTCATTTTTTTTTAAGAGGGTTTATTTTACCATTTTTTTGTTTTGAGTCTCAGTGGGTAATTAATAGTTAAAGGACACGCATTGCGCGTTAGGTTTTGTGAAAACTCAAAACTCAACGTCGTACTATTCACGTATAATTTATCTTTGGATGTATCTCTATTTTGTTTCACTCTATTAAAACAAATACATACTAATAAAAACAGGATAATGTTTATTTTGACAAAATGATTTGTAAGACGTCGGCTTAGAAAGACGTGTTTGTTATTTCCCTGCGATGTCATTATAAACGGATTCCATTGTATAATAATATTTCACCTCTGGCATACTCCTAAGGATACTGATAATGTATATTCTGTTCTTTATTATTTTAAATATGATTGTGTTTGTTGTTATAGTCAGTAAGTAAATAAGCTTAAGCGTACTTATTCCATGTAATACATATAGAAAATAAAATAGCTATTTTACAGAAAATTGAATATTAGAACAATATTATTTTATTCTATATTAGAGTCGATACAGTTTTGCCATTTCAACGTAAGTTCATTAATAAAATTACTTTAAGTTTATGATAATACTTCTGGAGACGCGAACGTTTGCCTCGATTTAAATGTAATGTAAATAAAGTTATGCTGGATCAGTTAAACGTGATAGATGATGGTTAGTTCACAAGTTTTGTACCAAGTAGAAAGGGTTTTTTTAGCAATGTGTAACTTTGCGAAGGGTTTTGGGTGCTTTCTTCTGTGGTCGGCCGTCGCCAGTCCATCCTATGATTGAATAAATCATTAGCATAGTGACTGATCAAAGAATAGCTAATTACTATGGATTCCGAAGTTAGAACATAGAAGAATATTAGCAGTTGTCGTGCTCCTATCTAATAATATTAGCAGTTGTGGATCCGTGTGCTGACGGATTAAGAATGATCCGTGTGGTGACCGATTAAGAATACAGAGTGTCACCACCCCTATTCATCCCGTGGGTGTCGTAAGAGGCGACTAAGGGAGCAAACCACGCAGGACCACAGCACTGTAGAGAGAAGGAAAACTTGACACAAACCCTATACCAACCCGTCTGGCCAGCGTGGTATAGTAGGCCAAAACCTCATTTCTAAGGAGAGGCCTATGTACAGCAGTGGACTATTAAAGGCTGTTGATGTGTGATGTGTGCTGCCATTAATAGGAGAACTCTATGGCAATCGTCGCTTAAATATAATTTGATTGTTGTTCCGTTTAAATTATGATCAAAAGTTAAATCTATTGAAATAAAAAAAATCAAGACAAGTTGTAGTAGGTATATCATGTCTTTATTAATAATCCACGAATTTTGCAACGATTCAGAGCCCTCTAAGGAATTAATTCAACTAAACCATTTTGTAATCTATATCTAACACTTAATAATATTAATAATGTATTCTAAATTAATACCAGGTTTAAAATCAATTAAACTGTTTTCAACGGTACTCTTTCCCTGGGTACAATCCTAAGTTGAAATCCGTCTGATCTCTTCAAAATGATGTCGCCTTTGAGTTTGAATTTACTTTCAGGGATATCTGATATGCATTTGTAGCTTCTCAAAATAGTAGAAAGTAAAATCTTGAGCTTGAGTAAAGCATATTTACGGCCTGAAATAAAATTTGAATAAAAAGTTAATATTTTATTTCCAGATAATATATACATATATACATTGTAATAATTGTAAATCTTTTAGAATTTAGACCTACACTAATTGATATTTCGCTTTGAGTTCGTAATTTTAACAACAAAACTCGCAATTTATTACTATAATATACAAAGATTAAAAGTGTTTTGTGAATTAAACTTGAAGGAGGAGTCTATATGTGTTAAAAGAAAATAAACGCCTAACAAGTTCTGCATAGCAATCTATATGATTACTTTGTAAAATACTTTTTTGACAGGATCTTTTAGTGGAACATTATTATTTTACACTTTCAATATCGTTTAGGTTTTTTTTAATGTCAAAATTTGGGTTTCAATTCGACTTAATATATATATATATTTTCTTCTACTTTGGTTGTATACTAATTTCGACCTATATAATTTTTAAAGAAAATAGCAAACAAAGATTAAGCCATATAAATGCCTATATGTTATTACAAATTAATTATGATTTAGGTATGTTAGGTTTAATATCACCTTAACCTTTAGAGATACTCACCGAGTGTTGAACTGAATATTTCGAGAGTCTATGTTCTACGTCTGTTTACAGGACTCTTTATACACTAAACTTAGAAAGAACGATGTTTGAATGTTTTTGAGTCTAAAACTACTAAAGTTTCATTGCTATATTTTAAATATTTTTTATCGCACTTACCAACGCAACTTCTAGGTCCGGCACTGAATGGAACATAGCTATAGTAATGTCTGCATGACGCATTTTCGGGCAAAAAATTGTCAGGATTAAAAGTATTAGGATCTTTGTAGTATTTGGGACTGCGATGGATTGCATACGTGCCTATTACTACAGTTGCTCCCTTCGGAAGAACATAGTCTTTGGATGCTGAAATAAGTAACAAACACAAAAAGTTAAACGTTAATTACTTCATAAGGAATATGTAGTTTACTATGTGTATACTTAATATGATCAAATGAACTTTACAATTATATGGTAAATATATATATTAATTTTAATAATTTAATATTATCATTATTTAATTTACAAATGGAATAAATTATAATATATTCATTTACAAATAAAATGAGGTGATATAAAGGCCTTATAGACTTCAACGAAATCCAACCCTTTTTTTTTTGCGGAAGTCCCCTCGGATACCACTGGTAGCGTGGTTATGTCGGACCAGACTTTGGAAGTGATGTCTAAAGTCCCACCGGTCATCGAGGGCTCGATGCCGATGCGAGCGGCTTCTACTATGAGGCTGGATCTCTCAGGTGGCTTTGTTTAAGGAAACTTCGATACCCAGCGGCCGGATCCGACGACTCCATGACTCTCTATGCATGACTAAGAGGCTGAGGTAGAGAGGCACTCGAGGAGTTGCATCAGGGAGGCGCTCGTGTATCAATACGAGCACTTCCTTGATACAAATCCAGGGCAAAGTGTTAAATGCGTTGGCGATGTCCAAGAACACCGCCAACACCACTTAGCCCCGGGAAACTGCTTAATCCGCCAGAGCTCTAACGCGCATGGTCGTATCTACTGCGGAGCGCCCTTGACGGAAACCGTACTGGGTGAAGCGCCTTGTAATCACTGTTTCGAAGAGTTTGCACACCTCGTCAAGCGACACGGTCAACCGTGGGCCGGTACGCGAATGGTGAGTCCGCCGGGAGCCCCTACTTTCGGATGAGGACTAGTTTCCCCGTCTTCTACAATTTCAGAAACTGGCCCCGCTCGAGGCATGCACTAATGAGCCCTCTCAGATGGGGCTCGAAAGCCTCGTCATCTAAGAATAGGAACCACTCTCGGCCTGGAATGCCATCAGGTCCTGGGGTAACGAAATCCTACCCTAACTGTAGCGAAGGCACCACTATTGTATTAAAGACGAGATAAATGTATCGACAATTGCATGTGTTTCGAATTATTGATAAATAAGAATATTTTTGATGCCTTAATAAATTTAGCAATACAATACACGACTGGATCTCGATTAGCTTGTTATCTGTAATATTAGTTAACTCGGCAGTAATAATCAGTATGATATTAGAAGAATGAACAAGATTCTATGTAGGAAATTGCAAAAAGTATAATTATTATTTTTTACCAATTTTCACGTCACGATTTAGCTGCCTAGCAATAGCTGGTACAGGTGGGTACAATCTTAACGTTTCAAGTATTACTCTTTCGAGGTATTTCATCTCCAATGTATCAGCAAAGGTGACGGGCCTGTCAGAGTCTCCAAAGATGTTATATAACTCATTATAAACTTTGGCTTGGACATCATGATAGATTCCCAGTAGACAAAGCACAAAGCTAGAGCCAGCTGCTGTAGTATCGTGGCCCTGTAATGTTCAACATACACTTTAAAGCCTGGAATGTTACGATTAAGGCTAAGAGTCTGCTTATTTTAGTACCTTTTACCCCAAAATTTTGATTTTCAACAAACATAAATAGACGTTTTATAACGTACATATTTAGAAAATGACAAGAATTTCAAGTGCTTTTAGTTAAATGCAAAACAAAAATATATCAGTAATAAGACGAAGTTCTGACTGCAGCCAATTTACTAATGAACAATGTAAACAGTACCATAGTAATAGAAATTGAATTCATGAAATCTCTAGAACTTTTTTCTCTTTAGATTTGATGTTAAGGGAATTACTTTTGAAGACTGTACATTAAATGTTACCTCGAACATAATAGTATCCACCTCCTCTTTAATTTCATTATCTGTGAGCTGATGTGAACCGTTTTGTGCAGATTCGATCATTAGATCTAAGAAAGCAAGTCGTTTCTTTTCACCTATAAATCAAAAATGAATTTGTTTAAAATTTGCAATAGTTGTTTAAAATGTTAAACACAGCATTTTTTTTATTCTACGGGATTTACGTACGTATAAAATGTAGTATTATAAAACCATTATTGCGACAAACAGTATAAAAGAGCGATGCGTCGGTGATGGAGCTGGTGGGGAGGTTTTTCTGTAGGTATACAATGATCTAATCAGGATTTTACCAAACCAGATTTGTGGGGTGTTTTCAGCCTAATAATGCGTAACTGGGTAAGGTTTTTTTTAAAATAGAAATTTATTTACAAATTCACCAACTTCTCAGTCTCGCAATGCAGTACAATAGTCACACATTACGTACATAAAAATTGTTCTTAACCGTGTAGTTTTCGGAGCCTTGCAGTAACACAGTTTATTTAAACGAAATTGTTGTCACTTATATTATTCAATATATCGTATTAAATTATAACGTAGTGATCCAGTGAATGGTCACTATGCTCCAAAATGAATTATCTTAGACACTGTGTACTCACCAACATCCTGTTCATCATTATAATCTAAGTCGTCCCGATAACCTTTGAAAACTGTATCCGAAAGAGTTTTCGCTTGGTTGGCTAATATATTTTTATCAGCAATACTGATCTCTGTCTGACTTGTCAACTCGTTAAGAGTAGGTGGAATAAAACCTTTTGATATATTTTCAAAATATGTCTCTTTTTTACTTTTGATAACCTGAAATGTGTGTAGCAAATTTTAGACAAGTCCTAGTCCCATTGCCTCACAATTGTAATATAATTAGTTGAATCAGTATAATTAATAATTTTATGACAATTTTTGCTGGGTAGGAGAACATTGCTAAGCAACAATTTATAGATAGTAATTTATAAGTTTAGAATTATGATTTCTTTTGCCAATTAAAAAAAAAAAAAAAGAGTGGAAGACTCTGTGTCAGTTAATTTTTTAATCTTGGATTTATATTCTTTTACATATTTTATTATTTTATTTTATATTTATTGAATTTGAATTTATTTTTATTAATGATAACCTCACACATCTCGCACATGCTGTCTGATCCCTAACTAAGCAGAGCATATGCTATGGTAACCCGACTGCTGATAAACGTACTTATATATTTCTAAATACATAGATATTATAGATAAATTACACTAAGACACAGAACAAACGATCGTGCTCATCACACAAATATTTGTTCTGGGTAGGAATCGAACCCACGACCTCCGGTTTAGCAGTCAGTGGCACTAACCACTAGACCAACGGGCCCGTATTGATGTTATATAGAGACCAATCAATAAAGATTTTTTCTATTTGTTGGTTGTGAAATGGTTGTTTTCTACTAACACTTTGAAACTTTGTATATATTTTTCATTATCAAACAATTTAAATAGAATGTCCCAAAAAATCATTATTTTAATAATGCTCATTATTTAAATGCATTATTGTTTTCAATTGTTTAAATAAGCGAATTATTTTTTATTCTTCGATCAATCGAAATATCTTGCCATTGCAGAACTTTTTTATGGATGAGAAGTAATTTACTCGTATATTCTTTCCTATGTACTATTTCTTACTAAGCGCAATTTCAGGATAAATTGGTGAAAGCGTAAAAACGTAACAAAAAAATTAACTGTCGCATTTATAATATTAAAAGTATATTAACTATATAATCATATTTTTGTATGTATGTAAGTATAATATGTATGATAATATTTTTTGTAAATGGTTCTCCAAAGAGAAATGAATTATAAACTAGGGTTTTATTATTCTAATTATTTTCGTCTATCAAGCACTTTGTCCAATTTCAATATCATTTATTGAATATTATTATTATATATTTTTCTTTTACCTTATTTGTAAGTCCATGGATTATACTCAAAAGTCTTTTTTGTTCCTTGAAGAAGGACGTTAATTTAAATATGGGATCAAAACGCAACCAAAACTTGTAATGCCTCTGGTGTATGATGTCACACATTCTGAAAATAAAAAAGTTAAATTTAAAAAAAGCCTTTGATATTACTGTATGTGTATGCGTGCCTCTCTTGACCAGAAAGTGCAACCGGCCAAACTACTTACATAACGTAGAGCGCCAGCTTTTCAAAACTCAGTAAAAAAAAAACAGAACTTACAAAGATTTTTACCCAGACTTGACGGGGTATCAGTTGTTTAAACGCTTAAATTCACACACACCCCTATAAGTTACCGACCTTAATTAAATGAATTTAAACCACTTACCCTCTACTCTTAATTTTATACTATTAATCTTTACACTATGGCTAAGTAAGTTTAACTATAGTAAATTTTACTTACTTCATTACAGCCATTGCGTAATCAAACCCAGATTCATTTTGTGTTTTTCTAGTGATACCCATAGCCGTTTCTGTGAAAACAAAATATTTGTTAAATGTTTTTAGCATTGGTATGTCCGAGTACAACGACTTTTACTTATTGATACGGTATCTTGATCTACACATCTATGTGAATCGCAATTATTACTATCAGACTATAAATAATTATAAGATCTCATTGATATCTCCGTTCATGTGGTGATGGATTAAGAATACGAAGTATCACACTATTCACTATTTATAATTAGTCGTTAGAGCGGGCTAAGGGACTCATGACACAAGCACTACAAAGAGAAGGAAAACTTGAAATAAACCCTAGACCAATCCGTCTGGCCAGCGTGGTATACTGGGCCAAAACTTCTTTTCCAAGGAGAGGCCTATGTTCAGCAGTGGCTATTAAAGGCTGTTGATGATGATGATGGATTTTATACCGGAGTACTGATTGATAGTGTCCGTGATTAGGATGTTGTCAATGAGTTTATGTAAGACTTCTATTAATTATTATTCGTAATGGGCGAATAACACCCAAATGCTAAGCTCAATACCATATTTTATTTTTAATAGTCCAACAGCACGGCCTTAAATTAATTATTTATCAATTAATAATAGAAACTTAATTTATATGTATACCTAGTAGTATATCCACGGTTGCTGTGCTCATATAATCATGTACGTCAAATGTTTTGCCCACTTCTGATCGCAGTTTTTCGACTACTTTCTTGCTGTTTTGGTTGAAAACACCAATAAATGACTTTAAAATATTGATATGAAAAGTTGGAGCTATCATTTTTCGATGTGAACGCCATTTATTACCTGTAAAAGTTATGTACATGTTTTATAATTTTACCACCGACACAGAATTGATAATTAGCATTAATGTTTTAAGATTATGATGTATAAAATTTATATCCCTTTTCTGTATATTTTTGATTTAATTTATGTATCAAAATTATTATTTTTGTAAAACAAGCTTTAGTCCTACATACATGTATGCTAGAACATACGTAGTGGTACAACGAACAAAAATATTTTCTATAGTAGATTCCAACCAGTTCTGTTTCATTTTATTAAAATTGTACAATATTATTATCTTGCCTAGTCTCTTTATTTTATGGAATTTTGAATATTTCGTGAAGTTTATTTATTTTTTGTATGATGTAAACATTCACTTACTCCGTGTTACCTTGTGAATGGACAATATCGAAAGGATGCAAAAAACCATAAAATAACCGTATCAAGTAAAAGCATTTTTTTTTATTTTTACAATCTATTTCAGAAAATTCAATATCTGGGGTCATTTATGTTTAAACTGATTTCTGTTTTTATGAATCACTAACTATGTCATTTTCTTCGTGTCCTTTGTCATCTTAGAATTAATTAAAATCAAGATACCAAAAAAAAAAGTGTTTGCTTCTCGTTTTTGTTAAGTTGGTTACTTCCTAACAAAAAAGAAAAAAAAACTTAAAACATTATTTAAAATTTGTAAATTGAACTGATTATTTCATGAGTACTGAATCTTTTTTTTATGGTATAAGTGGCAAACGAGCAGACGGGACACCTGATGGTTAGCAACTACCGCCGATCATGCACACCTGCAACTCAAAAGTCACAAGTGCGTAGCCGCCCTTGGAGTCCCTCAGTGGTATCACTCCGGTCGAGCCGGCCCATTCGTGCCCGTGAATCTCAAATAATTATAATTTTTCATTATAGTAAAACTAACGTACCGCTACTAATAAGCAGTCCTTCTCCTAGCCAAGGCTTGAAAAAATTATATTCCGGAGCTTTGTCAATATGTATGGGACTATTTAGGATTACTTCAACATCTTGAGCATCCGCAAGAAATATTACCAACTTGGAGCCGAGCCAACCACGAACTACACTACCATACTTGGCTTGCTGTACGAGACAGTATTGTATTAAATCTGTGAAAAATGTATAAAAAATTATACTTAGATATATTATCTGTCTACTATCTCTATCTATAGTGTCTATGAAGAACTCTGTCTAGTATAAACTATTTATTAGAAGTACAAAAACAAGTAAATAAATGTGACAGTTTAAAAAAAAGAAAATGTGCCAATGTTTTTTAAGAGGGTATTTAATTAAAAAGTTTGTTTTCATTTTGAAATGAGTCTCTAGCGGTCATTGAAAAGAAAACTTTATCCATTTATTTCCATCAGTAGTTATTTCCCAACAACAATTTCGTTTACTTTCCTTGTGTATATTCATATTAACCATAAATACAGTTACCTTACAACCAACTAGATAATCAGGCAAGTAGAGTTGAAGGTTGAAAAATAGGAACTTTGTTAAAAGCGAAAGACAAGCACTGGAGTGAAAAAAGGATTTTGCTGGATTCGGTACCAAAAGCAGTATCTCGACAAGGTAGCAAATAAAAAAAAAACCCGGTCAGGTACGAGACGAACTCGTGCGCCGAGGGTTCCGTACCTACCCAGATTTTAAGTAGAGTTTCGCGAAAATCGTAATCGTAAGTACCAAAATTTATCTTAATTTTCAACTTTTTTTATTTTTTGGAATTATTCCTTTACTTGTGGTGTAAGACGTTTCTTTTGAAAATAAAAAAAGTTGAAAATTAAAGTAAATTTTGTTACTTACAGTTTCACGAAAATCGAAATTTGCCCATATATTTTTATCGTATTGACTCAGGACCTTGATTTTTATACACCTAATAAGGGCTATAGACCTCAGTATCTGGTATAAATTTCAACTTGCTAGGTCTACCCGTTCCTGAGAAAATCGGTGGTGACACACGGACAGACGGACAAGAATCTTATAATGGTTCCTTTTTACCTTTTGAAGTACGGAACCCTAACAACAGTGGCACTTCGGTAGTGCCGACAGAAAACTGTTTGTTTTTTTTTTTATTATAACAGGTTTTTTTGTTTTTCGATTTGATACGACATGAATATATATCAATGTTGTACGTATATACACAATATATAGTTATATTATCAATCTATTCCAACCCAAACTCAAATCTCGTGTCATGTCCCTCCAACACAAAGGCGGGCGGGCCTGGCGGGCCGCGGCCCAAAAGTTAATGTTCGGAAGTTGTATATATGCTAATCGGCGAGAGAATTCTTTATATTGCGATACAGGGTTAGAAATTGTCATTCAGGAGTTACTCCGTAGTTCTGTGTGTCTTCGTTAGATGGCGCTGTAGTATGTTTATGTTTCTTTGTATGTGGGAGTCGCCACAAATGTAGATACTTATATACAGAAGTGTAATTAATAACATTCTTTTGTTTGATGTTCAAAAATGTCCAACGCGCCTAAAGCAGTTTTCACTTCAAAAATCAAGGGAAATTAGATGTTAAAAGTCATTGCTGCAATATACATATACAAAAACGATTCTAGAAAACTGTCTTGCCCAAAGGGCTTTGCCTACAGGGGTGTGAACAAGAAAGGTACATGAGCTCTTTTGGGTACATGCTTGGAGTCAAGTAAACAATAGGTATGACTGAATGTGTATAGGTAAATAATTACTAATTCTTGAAAATAGTCACATGTTATATGAATATGACGTTTGTAATTAATGCAAAATAAATAAATAGTCAAGTCATTGATTTACATTGTCTTCAAGGTGACACGCAAATTCGCTATTTCTTTCTATGACGCTCACCATATCATGTTTTATTCAACGTTTTCTCATACTTGTGTTGTATAATTCTCGAAGCTCTCTCACGGTAAATCTTAAACGGTGATTACTATAACATAAATGTCTAAAAACATGTCATCATTGCTCAAAAGTCATATAACTTTTGAATATTTCTATGCAACGTTCCCGAAGACATCACCAGATCATATTATAAATTTATTATAGGGTCATTTTTAATGTCCTATGTTCCCTGGATCCCCCCCCCCCCCATCTCGAACACTTCTGAGCCTCGCGCTTCATTTCGCTCACGCCTTGTCGATATTCCTCGCTTCATCTGCCACTGTTCATTACCAAGTTTTCCTTGGAAGACCATGCTTGCAGTTTCCTTGGGGGCTCTAGTTCAGAGCCTGCTTGGGAATGTGATCAAAGTCCAATCGAAGTATGTCCAATCCAGCCCTATTTTCGGGGTTTAATCTGCTGGTCGATCGAAGTCTCCTGGCAGCGTTCCAACAATTTTTGATTAGAGATGTTCTCAGGTCAGTACATGCCTAGAATTCCAAGAAGGCAACGGTTGATGAAAACCTGGAGCCGCTGAGAGATCTTTTTAGTTACCTTTCACGGTTCACGCCTATACAGCAATACAGATTTAAAGTTTTTCCCAAATAATAATAAATAATAATAATAATATATCTCACACATCTCACACACGGCCGTCTGATCCCAAACTAGGCAGAGCCTGTACTATGGTAACCAGACTGCTGATAAACATACTTATATATTTTTAAATACATACATATTATAGATAAATTACACCCAGACACAGAACAAATGACCGTGCTCATCACACAATATTTAAAAATAAATATATAAAATATAAATTTAAATGGTTAAAATATTTTAAATGGTTTCAATATTTTAAATGGTTTTAGCTTGACTGTTCGAGTCAATATCCGTGACAGCCACACAGGTTGAAGTTATGAGAAGGCAGCTCGAGCCTTGGTAATTCGCGAAGTGATGTCTTCCTTGGTTATGGGGTAGAAATTTCAAGTATGTTAACCAAATCTTGTGTTCCTTCACTTCAATTAAATCGTAGAGCCTGGCTTTAAAAAAAATGCCTTGCCTTAAACTAAGCTGATACACGTATTTTGATAATGCAAAGTTTAATGGATAAAATTCTAGAGTTATGTTCAAATTCAGAATGAAACTGCAAGATGATATGAATTTACAAAAAAAGTATTGACTTACCATCAGGAGTTTTGCCTAAAGCAATAAGTGCATTCCCAAAAAACGGTACAGTTTCGGGTCCGGGAATTAGGTTACCCATTTTGTGAAACCTTGACTGTTGTTGCCATCTGTGAAAGATCCACAGAGTAGATGCGATAAGCAGGAGGGGGTAGAATACTAGCCGTGTTAAGTCTAGATCATGTCCGCCATCGATCTTTGACACCATCTTGCTAAACTGTAAAAAAAAGGATTATTGTTATTGAAAATACTCATTACCTAACAAACTTCAGGTTTCAAAGCGATTGCAGTTTGTCCAAAGGGAACTTAAATCACAAATTTCACCACTCACTTACCACTAACCTCAAGTGATAAGATAAGTAACTTAATAATTATATAGTTTCAATTCAGCCATAGAAAGTGATAATTCATTTATTAATATTTATTTATTATTAAAAAAAACAATGCTACCAAACAGCGCTATGCAGCTACGTATTACATAAACTTTAAAAATTTCTTGATTGAATGATTGACGGTTGGTTATTATTTACTATAGGCCTTTGCATTTTCTGTTTTTCGTGCAACTCTACGTTAAAATTAATCTTTATTGTGCGTTTTATGCGTAGTAAATGATAAAATAAATGATGAATGATATTTATTTCTGTAAGTAAATCTTTTTAGGTATTTTTAGAAGTCAATATTTATTTATTGAGGGTTAGAGTTATGAACTTTACTTTGAGTACTAAAAATATTAATTTTTTTTTTATAAATTTTTCATTAATATAATTTATATATTTAATAACGTTATTTATATATTTTTGCATCAATTTTGTACTTATTGTAAATATTATATTACTGAATTAAGGAAATGCAAGGAAATGAAAGGCAGTAAATACGTTTTATTACTAAATCCTTGGCACAAAAACAAATACATCTATAAAAAATAAATAAAACAGATTTAACTTTATAAGAGCTTACTTCCGGTAGGAAATAACAAAATCACAAAATTAGATATAAAGTCTTTCAACTTTAACATAAAAACACACTTCTAAAGTACATTTTGGTACAAGACTGACAACGAAAATACTTGATACTAAAATGTATTCACAATTTATAACTTTCAAAATCAATTCATTCGCATAATTACCATTATGTATACACAAGTATGTCATTGTTATGCTTCTGATTTTGGAATTTGGCTGTTAAATACCTACCTAATTATTAATTTCCAAATGACTACATTTGGTAACTTACTACCTAAACTACGCGCTATTTCTGAATAAAATTCACCGTTACTTGTGTGTTCTGTATATCTATCTGGTCTTTTATGTTCAGTATCTGTTCTAAATTTAATTATAGGTATAACGGTTAGGGGTGCGGGGTCCGGAACCTCCGCGTGGTGCACCCTGGGCAACGAAGACGGCAGAGCCTCTCTCTTAATTTAGGAAAGGTTACGTCACCTAAAATCGGCACAAGCCTCAGAGAGGCCGACCTTCCGAAACTGTGCGGGTCGCCCATAAGGAGAAGGAAACTGGCGGATCTGCGGCAGCAAAGAGGGCCGAAGATGAGCTCCTGATTAAGGCCCTCCTTGAGAAGGTCGCATCCGACAAGTCGACCACCCCTGACGTGAGGTGCGGGAATGCTAACCTGGAGTAACTACGCCGCAAAGTCGGAAACCCCATGGAACGGATCGAGGAGGCGATCCGCGCAGTCGATTGCTTGCTTCAGCCGTCCCGGGGACCCGGGGGGACTGAACAAGAGGCCCTAATAACGGTTTGCGCTCCATTGTCGAGGCGGGAAGACTTATCGAGAATAAGGCGTCGGGCTCCACTCGTGCCCACACTAGTGGCGTCTTCGGCACTGGTGGCGGGGTCCGGCCGGATGGAGTCGGACATGGCCCGACTCATGGCGGGGAAGGAGGAGCGACTAATGAAAGGCATCTCTGCAGTAGAAAGCGCTAATTGTTGCCCATCTCTGGCTCCGCAACGGACGACATACGCGGCCGCTGCTAAGGCGCAGCAGCAGCACCTCAGAAGCCCACACAGGGAATAGGCAAGAGGAAGGCGACCTAATTTTTTTTTCTTAGGTGTGGAAACCCGCTCGGGCCGTCACTAAAACCACATGGTGTGCCACTCTCTCTCTCTGCCTATTCTGGGCGGTCAGAGCCGCCGCCCACACCGGTGCCAATTGGGCAATTATATTTACAAGCTAGCGGTATCACCGACACCACAATGAATGTAAACACAAAAAAGTAGAAATTTATGAAATATTCATAAATTCAATGTAATAGGCTATAATAGGTGAATTTGTTTTTTTATACAAATGACAACATTCGCAAAATTTTTACGAGTTAATAAATATTAATTGTATATGAGAGGTCAAGTGTGTATGTAATTTTAATTAGGCATGATGACTAGCATTGGTCGCTATTGTGTTAACGTCAGGCTTGTTGACGTACTACTACTCGTTTAAATAAATCATTTTCTGCTACTCGTTACTACACAATCATTACCCTAAATAAGTCGGAACGTATCTGTTTAAACTATATTTATATTCTATTTTTGTAAGTTATAACTTACAAAAATAGAATATAAATATAGTTTGGGGGCAAACAAGCGGCAGGTCACGAGATGGTAAGTAACCGCCGCCCTTGGATACGTAGCAAATCAAGAAAAACAAATGCTTTGTCGCCCTTTAAGTCCCTCAACCTATAGTGAGGGTGAGGACGGATTTCGGCTTCGGTAACCACAGTCACTCAGTAAAATGCAACTTAACAGCTGTTTTCTGTGAGGCCGTAGTATCGGCCGTGGTACTAAGGTCGAGCCGGCTTATTTGTGCGGAATCATGGCTCTCTAATAGAAACAGACCTTACTTCACATATCACAGAATAGCTTTTGGGAACCAGGATTCTATTCCAAACCCTCACAATGGGCCGCCAATAAAAGCAATTTACCTACGCGACCAACGAGACATTCAAACAGAATTCTTATTCCACGTGACATGACACACGTTATTTAGCTAAGCAAGGTTGTAACTATAAAATCTAAGTCTTTACAACTAAACGAATAATAGTGAATTAACTATTAAAAACAAATAAAAAAAAAAAAGAAGTAAATTACTCTACGAATTAGGTAAATAGGTACTTTAAGGAAGTCGTCAGCCACTGTGATGCTATTAAAGTAGTAAAATAGGTAAATAATAAATTCAGACAATATTATATTTTATTGATTATAGTAACCTCTCAAAATTATATTTAAATATAACATTAACAAATAATATTTTTTTTAATAAATAAGTGGCCTGCCTGTTTGCGTACTACGTGATGTACCAGTGATTAAATACACATATTTACCTACCAAGCAGTGATTAAATCCTCATATTTACCTATAAACCAGCATATAACCCTCCTGACTTTCCTGTTAACATACTCGCCTCCTGCGATTGTACAGAGAGGGAAAATCGACATATTTGTAAGTAATGATAACAATAGGCATAACGCAATTAGTTTTTATTATTTTTGTTCTTGTGGAGCCGCATTATTATTTTGTGCCCATTGCGGTGGAGACTTTGAGCAGTTGGAGGTCGGAAGCTAAAGGTTTTGTTCGGAAGCTAATTGCGGAGATTGGTCGACGAATAAGGAAGACGTGACTCCCGCTCCGGCCGGCTCATTTCTGGTGCAAAGGATGTCCGTTGCAATTCAGCGAGGCAATGCTATCATGAGCACCTTTGCACCGGGAGCGACGCGGGACGGTTTATATGATTTGACTTGAATTGTATGTATTCATTAATAATGTTAGCGTCAGTATCATTACAGTTTTATATCATAGTTGGACTTATTCTCAAAAAAATCTTGAACTGAGTACTTAATAACATTTTTTTAATTAACAAGTGGCGTAATTTTCTTTTAAAATGATCTAAGTATTTTTACTATATTCTTTATTGCTAATAGAATTTTATTAAATATGCGAGGTGTTACATCTTAGAAAAGAAAAACACATTATCGGATACAATTTTTGTAACTGCTCATATAAAAATATTCAGTATTATGCGTATTTGAAGAGATCGACAAAGAAAAACACTGCCACTGATTAATGCTTGATGAGATTAATATATTGTCGGAGTTCTTGTGTCGTTAATTGTATTCCAATAAAAAAATACCAGTTTTTATTGTTTTATACTTATAACAAAAGGGTTGATATGATTACAAAAGGTTTACAATGTAGTTTAAAGGAAATAACATTACAGGCTGTTCAATTATTATTATTATAGCCTCTTCATTTCCATAAGGAATAAATTACAAAACAAATATATCAGGAATTAAAAGTACATATAATTGCATGCATGAATTAATAAAATATTACAATTAATTACTATAATTGAAGTCTCGATCAATTATAGTAATTAATTTCATTTCATTTTAAACATTCATCAAGCACAAGGTCATTGTGTCCATTCCATAAGCATTTTTAACACGCTTTTATTAGCTTGGTATGTATGTTTGTATGTAACGGAATCATCGAACATGATTTTGATCCACTTTAAAACGCCGAATATAATTAAAACTTTGCATACTTATCAAGGACTGATGACAATGCAATAAATTAAATGGTTTGTCTCATAATCCTGATCAGGACATTCAGGCTTAACTGATTTTTTCATACCTAAAAATACAGCAGCGTTTTTTGCCGTGCACTAAGGCGTATGCCGAAGCATATGTGATAAACTTACTCGTTACTTTTTTTATCTTAATAAGGTTATAATTATCATTAGCGACTAAAAAAGAAAAATAAATTATAGTTTAAAAAACCTACTTAAAATTAAGTTAGAATATTTACAACATTTACACTATCTACATACAAGCATCAAAAAATTCCTCCGCAACATCGCCTACTGGTAACGTTCCCAGAAGACTGGCAGCATTGCCACGTTGAATGGCAATGCTAATTCTCTGTGCTAGAAAAAGACCACCCTTCTGATCACGAGAAGTGTCAATCAGTAGTTTAGCTAGCTGTTTATATATAGTACGAGCACTTGGACCCCATGACCCTAACGTTTCGACCCCAAACGGTTTAAAAATGTAATTTCCTAGTAATTTCTGATATTTACGCCGTTTGAGGGTTTCTGCAGATGCAGCAGCAGCGCCGGCGTAACCAGCAGTGCTTGGCAAATGTGATGGCGCAAGGGTGTCGGCGCAGGTTGCGTCCCACACCAAAGGCTTACCCATCTTCCATGGCAGTAACGACATACCGTCCGGTCTCTTCCCATCGTCTCGAACCAGACCATTGGGTTCACGTACAGCTGGAACGCCGGCGGTAACAAGAGCCCGACGGATAATGTCGTGAATATTGGCATGTCGAGATATACGGCCATCGCTTCTGCTACAAGAAAGGCCATGATGTCCAAGACTGTCAACAGCTTCTCCGCAGTGACAAAGATGCGGAGAAACACAAGGCGCACCTAAACGAAGACAAGTGGCAAGGCGTAATGTAATATCGTCCAACAAAGTGCCTAAGTTGGGCGATGGAAGTGCCTGAATCCATAAGCCTGATTCCCATTCTCCAACAGCTAACAAACTAGCGCGCTCAGCAAGATTTATTGCTGTATTGATCAATGTTTTTTGTTTTAAAATACATAGTGGCGCGTCCCATTGTCTCTGAGAGAATGAATTAACAGGTAATATTGTATTGGGACAAGCTATCCGCCAGGCATGTATGGCGTCGGCCTTGCAAGGCACTTCAGAATCAACCAGTGTGCTTATTAGAATTTTCCTGGTTATCTCTTCTGTGCCATGGACCGAAGACAGAAATGCTGGAAGGCTGACATCTACAATTTTGCGTACTCCAAGACCACCCATACGAACTGGTAAGGATGCTTGGAGCCAGGTTCGATCATTAAAAGCTATATTTAACACTTTACTGAGGATGTTTTGAATAATTTTGTCAACTTTTTCTAAAAGTGATTGGTGTTTCCAAAGTGGGGATGACCGAAGTGCATGTATAAATTTAGGTACAAAAAGACAAAAACGGAGTATAGTAAAAGCCGAATGGACATTAATTTTAAGTAAAAGATCCCAAAAATCACCAAAAATGTTAATTTTGTCCTCTATAAAAGATTGAAAACTATCTTCCAAGACTGGACATCCAAGAAGGCGAAGAGATTTTTTTTCTAAAAGTTTAATGTTGGGTGCTAATGAATTGAATTTTTGTACAGTCGCGAGTCTGTCTGTATTGTCACAAATAAAAATTTCGCATTTGTCAGAGTTAAGTTCTAAGCCAATAGATCTAAATTTATTTTTTATAAAAGATAAATCTTCTAAAACTGTATCTACTTCCCCTCCTAGAGTTCCATCGTCAAGGTACCAAATGTTAAATTTAGACTTTACCTGCTCAATAATGGGGTGTATTGCTAAACTGAAGATAACTGGTCCCAAAGGATCACCTTGTTGACATCCGACGGCTGAGTCCAAAAGATTATCCTTGTAAATAAGTTTTGTTGGATATCTATAACATTGCCAAAGAAATTTATAAATTTTAGGTGTTTCCAATTTTGCTTGGTTCAACAAAATGTCTCTATTATCAGAATTAAAGGCATTCCTCAGGTCAACCTTCAAGATAACCTTCGCATTCTGACTGCCAAGGTACGTGGACAGGGCGTGTATGGCAGCCTCACAACCACCTTTCGAGCCAAAACCAAGTTGTAATGGTTGAAATTTTTGCAAGTTCAGCGCTGTAATATTTGCAACAAATTTTGGCTACCATACGTCGCAAGGTACACCCTACGGCAATCGGACGAATGCCACCATCGTTCTTACGTAGGGTACATAAGTTGGCTCCATACAAAATATCAATGATGTCATCGTCCAAATTGCCAGAGAGCATAAGGTTCACTAAAGCCGTCAGCTCCTTCAAGAGAGCATCGCCAGCCTCTCCAGCACTGGAACAAACCAGATCTTTTAGATGCTGTGGTGTCAAGCCATCGAGACCGCCAGCAGATCCACTCCGAAAGGAACAAATGGCCGCTAGAACTTCCTTGGCAGTAACAATAAGATGTTAGCTATCGGTGGCAGGTAGTTCAGAAAAGGAGAGATCATCCTGAGGTGTGGAATGCTTATTCTTCAGGCCTGCGACTGTTTCAGGCGAGTAAGGCGCTACCACATCGCTGCTAAAAAGCAGCCTAGCTGCTCCCCTTATATCACCTTCCCTTAGTTTTGTCTCAACGTAAGCAAAATTTTAGTAGATAATTTTGGGTCAAAATAGGTAGTATTAAGGCAATTCTCTTTAATTTGGGACGTCAAAGATTTTTGGGTACTATTTGTTTTTTTTTAGGTGTAAAATTCTATAAGGGAAGGTAAGTAGTTGTTCCCAGGCGGCTATTAAATTTTCCCGAACAACGAGGCCTACACAATTGGCTAAACAATCAGCCACTGTGGGCCTTGCACCTCGGGTGACTCTCTTGAGAATAGGAACAGAATTTTTAAGTGGGTTAATTTTTGCCAAAAAGGGTTTTGTGTAGTATTTGCTGGAGTTTGACTAAGAGATGTAGGATCAGAAGTACATAAAGGCACGTTTTGGGACTTATGAATTTTACCAAAATGTACCTTCAAGCCTCGCTCACCTTTAAAAAACGATCCTGTGAACAAATAGGGCAGCGAACGAGATTGCTTGCTGAAACAGCTGGTTGACCTGAACACACTGTCACATTGCCACTGGTGTTTACGAACATTTAAAAAAAAAAAAATTATTTAAAATAAATATAAAAACAGTCCAAAATAAACTTCAACTTTTGGTTAATGGCTTTGTGGTAGAGTGTAACCACAATTTCGCCAATGTCATGTATTTGAAAGACAAACTGTCAAAGGATTTTATGTAGAGCTGTGGTAGAGCCAAAAAAAAAACACACTGAAAGTCTGAAGTCACATTTCATATTGACAGGCGCCTGCGTATTCCTGTCAAGTATTTTCGTTCAGATTATTGTTGAATTGTTGGCTAAAGTAAATATTAAATAGAAATTATGATAAGAAACTGAAAGTTGAAGTTAAAATTTATCATCAACGATCGATCTTCCTTTCTTTTTTGACTACTACTACTACTACTACTTTTTTTTGCTTTTTTTTTATAATATAATAACTTTACTTTTACCAATACCTATCAGTAAAATATTTTTACAACGATTGAGATCTAGCACCCCACCCCCTTTTTTGCGATAAAATGACTTTTCTTTTTGAACTTACAGAAAATTATTTCCTACCTTTTAGTTCGGCTAGCTACAAAAGCGTGTTTTTTTTTTTTGTTTTTTGAAACTGTAATTTATTCCTTTTGAGAACGGACCCATAAAAGGGTACACCAAATATCCTTCTTTTGTGGTAACATTAAGGTCTATCACTTTACGTATTAATAGTCCATTAGTGCTCAACATTAATTTTTAATAAGTATTTGAGCACCAAGCGATGGAATTTTAGTTGTGTTAATGTAGTTTATGTCACTAATGGCATTCAGCAATATTTGCGAGATTAGTGTTTATTGTATTTCCTTATAATGGGACATGCTAGTGGTGGAGTAACATGTACGCAATAAAATGAGATTGTTGTAATAAGAGAAACACTGCTATTTGTGACTGTCATTTAACATGTCACTATTTCAATACCAATATTTTCATATAATTGATTAATAATGGGGATTAAAGTATGAATTTGCCATTGTATAGTAATAGACATTTTGAATTGATATAAAACCTTCATGGTGTGAGATTTACGTGTAAAACTTTTCTCACATACCTATGAGGTTCTTCTTTAAAAAAATGTGCAACATCGTAATGGAAACTTCAACTTGGAGAACGAACCACGTGGAAGAACGCCAACCCAGGTGAATAACGCTAAATTGAAGGAGATGGTGAAAGCCGATCCGAGTCAAACTACCCAGAAATAAGTGGCATAGTTTAAAGTTACCCTACCTACAATATTGACTCATTTGTATTAAATCAATATGAAAAATGATCGCCTCATAATTTGCCTCATCTGCAGAAAGAAATGCGTGTTGAAACTTTTATTAACTTGTTGATTCGGTACAGAAATGAAGGACTATTCGATCGAATTGTAACAAAGTGGATTGTTTACGATAACTTTGAGCGAAAAAAGCCATGGTAGACCCTAGGTCAAACGAAGCAACAGTGTTTTGAGGCAAAGCTTACCAATAAAAAGGTAATGGTAACTGTTTGGTAGTCTAATCATAGTGTTATTCACTATAGCTTTCTCAGGTCTGGTCAGGCAGTAACAGCAGAGGTTTACAGTGTCGAACTTCGAACAATTATGGCAAAGCTGGTAGTGAAACAGCCCCGACTCATGAATCGATCTTCACCATTATTGCTCCATGATAATGCAAGACCTTACACTGCCCGAGAAACCATTGTAACTCTACAGGAGCTGTAGTTACAAACCTTCCTCTAACGGACTACCATTTTTTTCATGATTTGGACAATTTTCTACGTAATAAAAACAGTCTTCCCAGGAGCAATCACAAAATTATTTCACACAGTTTGTGGAATCTAGATCCCAGAGTTCTATCCTGAAGGCATAAATTAACTTCCGTTTAGATGGATGTGGGTAATATGAGGGTAAATAATTTGACTAAATAAATATTTTACATTTAGGACATAAACGAATAAACGAACGATTTAGAAAATAAAAAAAATCAGTACAAATCAGCAATTTCATACTTTAACCCCTCATAATAATCCGTGCGGTGACCGATTAAGAATACGGAATGTTACCACTCCTATTCATCCCGTGGGTATCGTAACAGCCGTTTAAGGTAGCAAACGCACTTCAAAGAGAAGTAAAACTTGACATAAACCCTGTACCAACCCGTCTGGCCAGTGTGGTATAGTACCTATAGTACCTTCCTAAGGAGAGGCCTTCGTCCAGCGGTATCGCACCGGTCAGGCCGGTCCATTTTTGCCGATGCATGGCTCTCCCGCGGTAGGCTTTTGGCCTACTGCACTGCGCTGGCCAGACGGGTAGGTATAGGGTTTGTTTCTACTTTTTTTTCTCTTTGCAGTGCTATTGTTCTGCGTAGTTTGTTCCCTTAGTCGGCTCTTACGGCACCGACACCCATGGGATGAATAGGGGTGGTGACATTTCGTATTCATAATCCGTCACCACACGGACAAATCTTTTTAAAAATATTTGTTTATTATCTCCCGTTTGGTCCTACTCAAATTTGAAGAAAAATAACAACCCATATAAGGAAAATGGAGAGCTTTAAAATATAGTAGTTTTATTATTCATCATGGTGTAGTCGGTAAAACTAACTAAATATAATGTTAGAGAAGGAAAAATGTTATACCTATGGGTCATTTACATACAGTATAAATATAGGAGCAACAACGAACACTAGTGCAGTATCGTATTAATTTCAAATAAACCATTCCAGCTATTGCCAGACTTACCCGCGTAATACAAGGTACTAATTTTTTTATATCGTTTTTTAGTTGTTGTAATAAATCTAGACGTTCTCGACTGAAAGCTTACTAAGGCACACCTTGTAATTTTATACATAGTTTTCATTTAATCAAATTTTATTTGTGCTACAAATGACTATCTCAGAATGGAATACTTTTGCTGCGAATCGTTTTTGAAATGACATCGAAGCAAATACCAGTTCTGAAAAGTAGACTGCATCAAAAAGAAAAAAAATACAAAATCTTTTATTATTAGAAATATGAGTCTAGTGTCGTTATTTAGGTTATACAGTCAGCTCACTGTTTTTTGTTCTGAGTTTGAGTGGGGGTTCAGCATAGCGGCCGGTGAGATTGATTGATAAAAATAAGTGTAATGATTAGAAACCGTGCTATCCTGTTTATTTATTTATTTAAACTTAATGCGAACCCCGTGTTGTTTTTCTTCCAGTTAAACAAAGACTAACAACAAAGCTCTTTTATTAAATCAGCCCAGTGGACTTAGAAATAAATTGTAGCTTACACTTTAGCTCGTTCAGCATGTTTTGCGCAGAAGTTTACAATGTTACCTGTTATATTGAGGGTACTTATTATAGTGTTTTTACTTAGATTTGTAATTATTTTTTAATTTTTAGTGCCTTTTGTAAGTATTGTTTGAAGTCGGTTTAACTTTTTTTAAAGGATTTTTTATTATTTTACCATTTTTAGTGTAAGATATGTTTGTAATGAGTACATAATTACGATATTTAAAACACGAAGTACCGTAATGTACAATTTTTACCAAACTGTAGTATTAAATATAGTTTTATCGTTCGCTACTTTATTTAGATAAGGTAGTAAGATGTTACATTTGACCCCGAAAATATATTATTTTCCACATTAATTTCCAAATCTAGGAGTGGTATTTTATCTATGGAGTCTACCAATGAGAACGTCCTGGTTTAAAAATTGAATAAAACACACAATTTTTTATGAAAAATGCATCCGATTGATTTATTTGATAGATAATTTCATGCAATTTATGTTTTAAATAATATATCGGCCAAATGACCGCCGCGGCTCTTTTTGCAGTGCAAATTGGCGTGAACCATTTCGGCCGGTATGTCGGCTATGGCTCGTCGAATGTTGGTTTTTAGGTCACGAATTGTAGCTGGATTATTGCTGTACACTTTAGATTTAACGTAACTCCGAAGTAAATAGTCTAAAGATTTTAAATCACACGATCTTGGTGGCCAACTGATCGGTCCATTTCTCGAAATTAACGACTCACCAAACTTTCCACGCAATAATTCCATGTTCACTCGAGTAATGTGAGGTTGTGCACCGTCTTGTTGAAAATAAAGGTCGTCTGCATCAGTATCATCAAATTCCGGAAAGAAATATTCGGTTAACATCGAGTTATAGCGCTCGCAATTCACAGTAACAGGGTTTCCTTCGTCACTTTCAAGGAAATTTTTTACAATTTCCAAGCGTTGGTTTAAAGTGAAACGTGACATGATAAAATGGCAAACCTTACTGAACACAAATGTCAAGAGACGTCAAAGATCCATCATCAAACATGGCCGCTATGAGCTGTCAAAACCAGGTCATCCCTATTGGTAGACCGAGTACATTTTAAATGGAACTAAAGAGGAAATTTACCCGTCCAAATAAAAAACAAAACATAATCGGTTTACCAATGAAAGAGTTTTGAGGTAACAAACATAAAAATTATTGCGTCACAAACAATTATTTTTATCTTACTGTTTTGTAACCTCATATTAGTCTTATGTGCACATATCTATAACCCTATACAAACGCCTAACTTGAAAGAAAAAAACAAGGTCAATTAATGACTAGATTATTGAAAGAGTTATCCTCTAACTCCTAAAGGTCAAGCCTCCATCATCAGCTCAACAACATGACATAATGACTACTAAACGCATATAGCTGGAGAAAGAAAACACCTCGGGAGTATACCCTTTCGATTACAACAAGAATTTTAAACTAATAAAAGAAGTTTCAAAAATAATTGCGTAAGAAATTCTTTTTTGTCTAAATGTTTTGTAATAACATTTATTACTCTCTTGTGCACATATCTCTGTAACCCCACACAAATACTTAACAAATATCTCGAAAAATTAAAACACGGTCAAAACATGATTGGATTTTTGAAAGAGTTATTTTCTAACTCCTATAGGTCAAGGATCTTTCCATCATCAGCTCAGCAACATGAGATAACGACTACTTAAAGCAAATACCTATAAGGCTAGAGAAACAAGCTAAAACACGCCTGTAAAGTTTGAGGGTTTCCCTCGATTTCGCTAGGACCCCATCATCAAATAATAATTTGGTGTTAATGGGACCATCTCGAAAGTATACCCTATCGATAACAAAAACAACTTTTAAAATCAGTCCACAATTGATGAAGATAATCGCTTACAAACATACAAAAATAAATACAGACGAAATTATACCCTCTTCTTTTGCGTTTTTGAAGTCGGTTAAAAAAATAACCATTTTCAAGTTTTGCACTTTTTTTTTAAATCGCCGAAATTTTGCCTAATACAGTTTTTAGGAGCTTAGGTCCTTTATTTTATTATTTTTTTACTGTTTTTGTGTAGGTCTCGGGTTCGATTCCCGGGTCGGATGAAATTCTTGTATGATCTGCAAATATTTGTTTCGGTGTTTGAGTGTTTTCTATGGATAATATGTATGTTTTTATGAAAAAAAAGTATTAAAATTTTCTATCAGTCAATCTTACTTTCATAGTACAAGGTCTGCTTAGTTTACTTTGTTGCCTGCACCAATGGCGTAGTGATTAAAGCGGTCGCCACGCCGCTACCACGCTAGATGGCGTTGTCTGTAAGATGTACGAAATAAAACTTGTAAAAAATAAAATATAAAATTTGATGTTAACTAACCGTGATAAATGTTTTTGTAATATTTTGCCCGAATTCTGCAACACGTACTTCTTGCAGTTTTTGTAGGCTGTCAAAGCAGTATATCATTACTTACAATAAACTTAAGACGTTAGGTAAAGACGACGATATTTAAAAAAACTGTCATCAATAACTGCGATTAAAGTAATACATACTTTGTTTTGTCCACAGCAGCAATGACATCAATGATGGCTCTGTCTATTACATTATTGGCGCTGATTACCTTTTTATGTAACGTTCAAGCAAATGTCACACAATCAGAACAAGAAAAATCTCCGATATTAGAAGTCATCGATACCATATTGGAACCATTTATGTTGAATCAAAAGGCTGATCAAGGTGTGTTTTCTGCTTTTGGATGTCGAAAAGGCCATAAAAAAATGAATAAAAACTGTTATAAAATATCTGAAGAGGACGTGAGTTATTACGAAGATAATGAAAACAAAAATAAAATTAATATTTAGATTTATGCCTTCAACGTACTTTTAAGATGATATCATAAATTTAGGTATTTTATTACTAATACTTAATTTGAGACTTAAGTTAATGTTTATTTCATTTCTTGTTTTCATTTGTTTAAGTATTTATGTATATTATTATTATATTTATATATTATTAAAAAGAAAAAAAATACAAAATATTTTATTATTAGAAATATGAGTCTAGTGTCGTTATTTAGGTTATACAGTCAGCTCACTGTTTTTTGTTCTGAGTTTGAGTGGGGGTTCAGCATAGCGGCCGGTGAGATTGATTGATAAAAATAAGTGTAATGATTAGAAACCGTGCTATCCTGTTTATTTATTTATTTAAACTTAACGCGAACACCGTGTTGTTTTTCTTCCAGTTAAACAAAGACTAACAACAAAGCTCTTTTATTAAATCAGCCCAGTGGACTTAGAAATAAATTGTAGCTTACACTTTAGCTCGTTCAGCATGTTTTGCGCAGAAGTTTACAATGTTACCTGTTATATTGAGGGTACTTATTATAGTGTTTTTACTTAGATTTGTAATTATTTTTTAATTTTTAGTGCCTTTTGTAAGTATGGTTTGAAGTCGGTTTATCTTTTTTTAAAGGATTTTTTATTATTTTACCATTTTTAGTGTAAGATATGTTTGTAATGAGTAGATAATTACGATATTTAAAACACGAAGTACCGTTATGTACGATTTTTACCAAACTGTAGTATGTTAGATTATATTAAATATAGTTTTATCGTTCGCTACTTTATTTAGATAAGGTATTGGGACTAATCCCACCCACACGCCCACCACTGTAACTCCTGTACACCAGGATCCACAGCAGTGACCCACGAACACACCGAGTTATGACACTCGGGAAGTCCCAGGAAGAAATTAAACTGTCTTGGAACCCGCAACGAAATTAATCAGAAGAAAATTGGAGGAGTTGGAAATACAGTAAATCCACTTCCCTCCTTAGCAAAGCGGGAGACAAAATGAAGTAAAATGGGCATACACCCTTTTAAACAGGGAAGCACCACGGCCACAAATATTACGGGTCCTACGTGAGCTATGTTTGATTTCTATAATATGTATTGCAGAATCGCCTAAACGCACGGAAATTCACCCTAGTTGACACAAGATCCCCATAGTATACCGCCCCAGATGTCACCTGCAAGCTATTCAGCATTATATTACGTTCATTATACCAAAGACTACATTCCCAGAGGATATGATGAGCAGACTGTTCATAGTGAGAGTTAGGTGTTGAGCATTGACACAATGGTGACTCGACTAATTTAAATGAATAAAGCTTGCTCTTAAAGTTACCATGACCCGTAAGAAATTGAGCGACACAGTGATCCACCTCAAGCCATATCCTCGACAACCGTTCGCGAACAGATGGAAAGAATTGGTAAAGATGGCGCCCCTTGGATGATTCATCCCAGCGTTGTTGCCATTCGTCTATGAGGTCATTATAGACATCGGGCTGCTGTTGAAGCAATCTTGTAATTTTACCGCGATCCCGCGCGCCCAAAAAATTGCATTCCATGTTTTGTTGTCTTGAATAGTACATGGCTGCACGTCTCTGCACCTCGAGATCGACCGGAAGCACACCCGCCAACACCGGCAAAGCCTCAGTGCTAACCGTCCTATATGCCTTACACAAGAATATCAGTGCAAGTCGTTGGCCTTGTAACAGTTTGCGACGGACAGCGCCTACGGTCGCCCTATCGGCCCATACAGGTGCACCATAGCACATAGAACCTAAATAAGTAGCTCCGTATATGATCTTTAATGTATTAAATGATAGACCCCATGTCGCAGTTGATATCCTTGTCAATGCACAGAAACTCTTTTTAGACTTTTCATTAACTATTTTAATATGTTCGATAAATGAAAAGTTTCTTTCTAAAACTAATCCAACACACACACAACACACACACACAACACACTGCGGTTTTATTTTTTACAGTAACATTGTCAAATCTAATGCTCGGCGGTGATTTGAGGTTACCTTTTAAAAGTAGCTGGAAGGTTTTGTTGGGTGCAAAAGTTAAGCGATTACGTTCACCCCATTGAGATATCAAGTTCAAACATCTATTGGCTAATCTCTCAAGCCCCGCCCTAGTATCAGATTCCACCAGTAATAAGCCGTAAATTCGTGATACAAAGGTGACCACGGGCCCTCTCTATCGAGTTTATCAACAAGTTTCTGAATTAAGTTTCCCTTGGATTTTTCCACAGCAGCTCTGTAGCAGGACCTGGCAACTCTAAGAGCAATGAGAGCATTGTTGTACAAATCTCCTGTTACATTATGTTTTTTAATAGTGTTTAATTTTCTACGAGCTTTCCGGTAGCTTCTACGTAGTTCGGCTAATCTATCATTCCACCAATCACATCTACGAGTGTTAGTGATAGATCCGCGACCAATAGTTACATCAGCGCAGTATGTAAAAGTTTCTGATAGTATTTCTGCGCTTTCCTCAGCTGATAAACTACTGCGACTGAAGTCTTTGGTATGAGTTGCAAAGAGTGAACCAAACAAAGCCCAGTTCGCACCTTTAGTTTTATATCTAAAATTATAGGGAGCCCTTTGTGGATCCTGTGCAACCCTTGGTATGAATTCGTACACGATCAAGCGGTGATCACTACAGGATGCGTCCGGAAGGACACGCCATCCGGATATCGAGACGTCGCCGCGCGTAAGCGTCACGTCAATAGAAGACTCACCCATTGGGTTGCAAAAAGTTGGTGGTGCATCGGGGGTATTGTGAATAATAAGATTCATTTCCGCAATGAAATTTTCAACCGCACAACGTCGAACCGTGTCGGTTGAACGCAACTTGCCATACCATAATGAAGATGACGCATTGACATCAGCGCCAATGATAATTTTATGTCCCACGAGGAACTGCAAGACGTAACGTAAGTGATGTAAGTGAGGATCAATTGGATGTGAATATTGAAAATAGCAGCTCACTACGTAAACCTTACAGGTAGAGGATGAGATCTCAGCAACGGCGCAGTGTGACGTCATAAGATTACGCAAAGATGTTACCGTAAAATTAGAACTTGCAACATATATCCCAGCCTGCGAACGGCAGTCAAGCTGTACTACATTACGACGCAAGTGAGCGCTCTGATATTGTTCTTGTAAAAGGACAATGTCTAACTTTTGTTCTAAAATTAAACGGTCTAATTCTGATGTAGCTATTTTATCGTTATGAAGATTTAACTGGCCTATCGAAATATTATTCATTACTTAGTAAGTTACTCTTTTAACTTTTTTTTTTTTTTTTTTTTTAAACTAAGTTAAACTATTCAGTAATTGGTATTTAATATTAGCTGTTCCAGTTTTAATTTGTATGTGGCACAGTCGTATGAGCCGCATCGATGGTCAGATGGTTTTTTGAACCGCTTACACTTTGCGCACGTGGGCTTAAAATCTGGTGTGTCTTTATCTGGACAAGCTCGCGTTTCGTGTGCGGCGGCGCAATTAACACAAGTAGGGGTTTTTATGGTGCAAAACTTTTGTACATGACCGAATTGCTGACAATTTAAGCAACGAACTACTTCTATATCGTCTATGAATCTACATTTGGCCCAGTCTATATAAAGTTTATCTTTTGTGTTGGCTAGATGTTTCCGAACTGCTGCCTCTAATTCTAAGCCTATCCATTGACGCCTATTTTCTAGTTTACGATGCCTAACAATTTTGGTTGACTTAATAAAATCGTTCTCACTTAATTTTAATTCGTCCTTGATATTCTGACGGTATAAGGCTGTTAGGAAGGCACGATCTTCCATAGAACCGGGTACGTCTTTTACAATTATACGGGGCCTACGGCCTTTCGGTTTTTCTAAGCGCAACCCTACTGATTTAATGGCGTCCACAGATTCCAGTTTCTTAAGCTGCCGTTCGTTAGCTACAAGTAACACGACGCCTGCCTTAGAGGTTTTTTTAACGCCTACAATTTGAAATCCCTCATCGCTCGGTTTAATAGCCTTCATGAGAGCTTGTTTTGTTGCTGACGAGGTCGCATAGTCCGCTAAGCGTTCCGTAGTGGGATAGGCAATAACACAAGGCCTAGGAACGCGCGCTTCAGTAGGTACCGGGCACGGAGCAGATTTAGGTGGTAAGCTTAAGTTTGTCCGCGTACGTTAAACTCGTTTTTTGAGTGGCGATACCCTCCATTTGTCGTTCAAAATTCGCTAACTTCGTTTCGTTGCTAGAGGATTTTATTGCTAACAAAGATACGATACCGGTAATTCGTTGAGTAATATCCATAATCGCCGTTTTATTACCTACATTCATCCGAGATCCCTGATCATTAACTAATTCATTAATTTTTGCTAAATAATCAGTGGCCTGTGATACTAACTCACAGTAGTTGTACTCCCCACAGTTATCACGACCGGTAGGAGACGAAACATTTCCACTTAAGTCCGAATTAATAACGCGCCTACGGCTACTGTCTTTCGGCGAGAAATCCGTAGGTGACATTTCGATAAATGTCCTTTTCCCGGTTGGTGTTAAAAATTCACTTGTACCGCCGGGGTCCGGCAACTTGCTAACGACCGACATAGCCAAACAAAGACACACCAAACAACAATTTCAAAAGGAACAGGTTTAATAATAAATAACACGCAGAGAAAAATCAATATAAACAAAGGATACCTCCTACCCACTTTTAGAAAGAAAATAAATTTACTCACCAATAGTCGTAATAAAATAATTCAGCACTATATTACTGTTTAAAAACAATAAAAACTTACTGACTTTCTTTAAAACACTATACACAACCTTTAGCCGCCCGCAAGCCGGAAACTAGTCGCAGAAAAACAGAAAACAATATTTAAATTGTTAGCACATGAAGTCACACGTTAGTCGCACGGTGCCGCGAAGGGAAGTCCGGAAGTTTAGATAAGGTAGTAAGATGTTACATTTGAACCCGAAAATATATTATTTTCCACATTAATTTCCAAGTCTAGGAGTGGTATTTTATCTATGGGGTCTACCAATGAGAACGTCCTGGTTTAAAAATTGAATAAAACACACAATTTTTTATGAAAAATGCATCCGATTGATTTATTTAATAGATAATTTTATGCAATTTATGTTTTAAATAATATATCGGCCAAATGATCGCCGCGGCTCTTTTTGCAGGCGGTCACCCGCTCACGCCAATTTTCGATGACGCGGTGCACCATTTCGGCCGGTATGGCTCGTCGAATGTTGGTTTTTAGGTCACGAATTGTAGCTGGATTATTGCTGTACACTTTAGATTTAACGTAACTTCGAAGAAAATAGCCTAAAGGTGTTAAATCACACGATCTTGGTGGCCAACTGATCGGTCCATTTTTCGAAATTAACGACTCACCAAACTTTCCACGCAATAATTCCATGTTCACTCGAGTAATGTGAGGTGGTGCACCGTCTTGTTGAAAATAAAGGTCGTCTGCATCAGTATCATCGAATTCCGGAAAGAAATATTCTGTTAACATCGAGTTATACCGCTCGCAATTCATAGTAACAGGGTTTCCTTCGTCACTTTCAAAGAAATTTTGGACAATTTCCAAGCGTTGGTTTGGTCCAAGTGAAACGTGACATGATAAAATGGCAAACCTTACTGAACACAAATTTCAAGAGACGTCAAAGATCCATTATCAAACATGGTTGCTATGAGCTGTCAAAACCAGGTCATCCCTATTGGTAGACCGAGTATATTTTAAATGGAACTAAAGAGGAAATTTACCCGTCCAAAAAAAAAAACAAAACATAATCGGTTTACCAATGAAAGAGTTTTGAGGTAACAAACATAAAAATTATTGCGTAACAAACAATTATTTTTATCTTACTGTTTTGTAACCTCATATTACTCTTATGTGCACATATCTATAACCCAATACAAACGCCTAACTTGAAAGAAAAAACAACACAATTAGAACAAGAAAAATCTCCGATATTAGAAGTCATCGATACCATATTGCAACCATTTATGTTGAATCAAAAGGCTGATCAAGGTCTGTTTTCTGCTTTTGGATGTCCAAAAGGCTATATAAAAATGAATGGCAAATGTTATAAAATACCTGAAGAGGACGTGGGTTATTACGAAGATAATGAAAACAAAACTAAAATTAATATTTAGATTTATGCCTTCAACGTACTTTTAAGATGATATCATAAATTTAGGTATTTTATTACTAATACTTAATTTGAGACTAAAGTTAATGTTTATATCATTTCTTGTTTTCATCTGTTTAAGTATTTATGTATATTATTATTATATTTATATCTTATTAATTATAATTTTTAATTTGTTTAAGAATGTTCAATGAGTACGTTACAGTGTTTGACATTAAATAAAGAAAAGATTAGTTAGTTAGCCGTTTCAGAAGTACTAATAAAGAATATAACTATTTTAACAATTTTAGATTTTTTTGAGTGGTATTCATATTTATTTAAGATCAACATTTTTACTCACGCGTGTAAAGAATTTCAAGGATGCCCAAGAATGAATTTTGAGACCTGAAATCTTTTGAATAAGATTATACGACTAGGTTATGTTTGACCGACGCACATAGGTAGATTTCGCGAATTTAGGCGGCGATAAACATGGGGTTTTAGTTATTAAAAGAGGTTATTATAAAATGAAACACTGTATTGAGGAAAAAAAAAGTTTTGTAATATATTATTATCTAAAAATATATTTAAATATTAAGATTAAAAAAAAAAAAAAAATATTATGTTGTCTCAGCGGACTAATTCACGGGACGATGCCCGCCCGGTCCTTTGAGAGACTTGCATGGGGACATGGGTCCAACATGTAGAGGCCCTTTGAGACTTTTAATTGTAAAAAATTAAATATATTGTATATATAAATATATATATTTACCTATATAAGTAAATATATATTAAAAACATCTAAAAGTGTACTTATATGAAAAAAATAAAAGACATTTGATATTTACAAAATAATTTTATTCCATATGTAGTTATAAGATATCATAAAAAAAAAAAACATTTTATAATAAGTTATTAATCTTAAAAAAAAGATGTGTCGGAGTCCGATATTTCATTTTCGGTCTCATTTGGATCCGCAGGCAACAACATTGCAATAGTTTCGCTTAAAAAAGATTTATGTGAGGTTTTCCTGATTGGAAGTGTTTGTTTCGTGCCTCTGCCGCTTCTTCTGACAGCTGTCCTATCGGCAGCAATGCATGTTCGATGATGCTTTCACCGTGGATTAAAGTCTTATGCATTGTTGGCGTCATGGGGTGCCATCCATAAAGATCAACATATAACTTTGCTGTATCCAAAGCGTAGTTATTATATTTAGAAACATCAATTTTAGGGCCAATGGTAATCACCTCCAATATAACCTTCAACCTATGGATAACTTCATGGTTAATGCCTGTAATCTCAGCAGTCCTCCTTTCTCTGTACTTTTGTACTGGTTATTTATATGCTAAATGCAAAACGCTTTCAAAAAGCCGTATCCTGGCATGTAAATTAGAGATTCCAAACTCGAGAGCTTCGGGACATTTTACTACATTATTTTTACTAAGATCATTGAAGTCTTTTGATGTCGCTCCACATATAAAACACCGACTTGTTGAAGAAGTGTTTGTAGCTGCATTGCATACTTTGCCGTCAATCATCGTTATTTTCATAATATGCCGAAACATATATTCGTGAGAATTAATATCAACTTTTGTTGCGGTCAGGCGCTTTTGTGCATTTTCTACATATGCTATTTCTTCTCTAGTGATATTTGTGGATTCTTTCATGAAGCGAAATCTAATCGGTCGGCAAAATCGTGGTGACGAAGGTGTAAGATTCTGCCATACAACCTTTTTGCCCTGTTCTCCACAGACAATATGGATTGGAACATAAGAACTCAATATACCGCATTTGTTGTGGGCCTCACAACCCCATTTCAATATAATGGTTAATGATTGTCTTTCATTAGAATTAAGTGTTATCAAAACTTCTTTCAGGAATTTCGATAAGCGCGTAACGGTGTGATCAATTAGGCTTTGAAGGTCCATTTCCGTGCAGGTAGCCGTTACCCTGAAAGCCGATTTCGGCGGTTAACACTCTTGCATCGCTTTCAACAAAAGGTCATAACAAGGGAAATGTCTTTTGTTTGTTGCTCTTATTATTTCATATTGTCTACGTGTGATCAGCCTCAACAAAGATCTTAGGTGCTTCGAAGGGGTTCAACGGAGGGATAGCTTCATCAATCTTAGAATAAGTATTTTTGAAGAACGTATTTCTTCTGTTTTCCTTCTCTTGCTTCGATCACTCGAATCGGCAAACGATTAACTTGGACAATCCTGGCGATGAGTCATTTCAATGGAATCTGAAAGGTTCCACCTAACCAAGAACTAATAGGTCTTTACCTATGAAATTGCCGTTTTGTATGCAATAAGTGAAAGTACTTATTTTTTTATTTAATACTTAATTTTTTATTTAATTTAATTATTAAGTATACCTTCACAAAAAAAATATTGACTGTGTAAGAGAAGTTGCACAGAGAGCGTGTCGAGAACACCGGGAACGGAGGTCAAGTTTCGACCTGTAAATAATTCATGGCTCATGGCCCAATGGTGGGGATAGTGGGGATAGATTTCTGGAAGTGTCTTCTAACGGTACCCGTCCAAGTTTTACGGCTAAATTGACTTTGAAAAAATGACTTTTGGCCGCCTAAATCGTCGAAATCTACCTATGTGCGACAATACAAGTGAATCGTTATAACATGAAGCTTTAGTCTGGATATAGTGACCTGTGATCAGAATAAACTTTAAAATCTACACTTTGTTGCTGTCAAAAGTCAGGCCTGTCGGGTTAATTACTGATTTTTATTAGTTGAACTGTACACCTACTTATTTGTTATCTTAGTGGTGTAGAAAGATTAACGAAACGCTTTTAATACATAATGTATTCAATAAAAACATTCGAAATAAATGATCTACAATGTAAGGCATAATAATAGGAATTATGTTATTGAAATTATTACAAAAAAGCACTGGTACTGCAGACACTTCTAAGGATATAGTAGTTCATCAAAGAATAATTTAACTAAAGAACCACTCCGCAAATTCGGTTAAATAAATAGCGGCTCTTGCTACGACACAAAAAAAAAGATATTCAGATCGCATAGAGCTAATATACATACATTTACCTAGAAGTTATTTATCTTTCTATCTTTTTTCTTATAAGAATATTTATTTCAGATACAATAATGAAAAAAAAAAAGAAGTTCAAAACAATGGCAGTAGGTACAAATAAAGAACGTAAACAAACAGAATAATAAATAAATCTAACGATACTATGTACAGATGAATAAATAAATCAGTCATACCATTTTAAATCAACAAAAAAAAATCATAAAACACCACTTCCTCTGTTTAAACAAGACCTCGACTGTTATTATTTCAGCCTAAAAAAAATACTGGTTGCCTGTAAAGTCGGTATACGGGCGAAAGTTTTACGTGACAACGACTTTGAGTGGTAAAATAATTTTAATGTGAATATTCATTCGTATAGTATATTCGTATAGTATAGTCTGTCTCTCTCGCTCTTAGGCGGGCTAACCATGCCCGAGTGGAAGGGACGCGTGCCTCTCACTCGCTCTCATTGTGAGCGCATAACGTGAGCGGAGCGTAACGCAGTTTCTTGAAGTGTCACCCGGCAAACCAATTTATAAGACGTTGTCACGTCAAAATCAAAATCTTCTAATTAATTTAAATTTATTTTTAGTAACAAGAACATCATAAATGCAATAAAATACATAAATATGCTTGCTGGGTCATTATAAGCATCCACTTACATTGTATCCGACAGTCCGATATTGATGTAAACATCCTCAGGATCCCGTTGATACTGTCCCTTACTCTTAAGAAGAAGAAGAGACTCTCACTCTTAAGAGAAGAGTAAGGAAGCTTTTTCGACCCATCGCTTGATCGCCATTCAGTGCTTCCGCAAAAATAAGTAGAACATGTAAGACGAGATGTACTGCAGTAGAGAGGCATCAGCATCAAAAGTCGGAAATAATAGTGGGTGATACAACAGAAAATTACGCCGAACAATAGGGATGCAAGCACTCTCAAATACTTGGACTTCATGGCATTTCATGGTTTTCTACCCTTTCACCGAATCCCACCTCGGAATGACAGTTGCATTGATGATCTGATGCTAAGATCAGAACATTATGGCTTAACATGTGTACTTGATTCCCTTATAACCGATCACGCCCCAGTGGTTTTTAATTATGATTTAAAAATAACAATAAACCCTTCTCGTAGCACTCGCTTAAAAATCGACTATCCTTCGATAGTCCAAAAGCTATCCGATATAGACTTCACTTTATAATTCTTCACTTTTGTTTTGTTTTGGGTTTTATTACATTTGTATTACCATAAGAAATAAGAGAAATCTGTAGGACAAAGTGATAAAAGTGATAAATTAAAAAAATAAATGTTGTACTATGGGTGTTATGGGACAGTGATTTTAACTGTTTTTGAACATAAAACAAATCTGCGGGTAACCATATTTCCTGGGACCTTCAATGACTTACGCTTCTTTTCGAAATCGTCATCACAAGACATGTAATCATTCAATATATGTATGCTGCACCGTATAACATAATAGGCTTAGAACGAGTAACTCTTATTTGTATTACATGTCAGCCCATGCTCCACCGCTTATGTCTCGCAGATCGCTAACAATTTATCAACGGCAGACAGCAAGATCCCAACAGCGCCGTATCATCTGCGAAGCTAATATTATTGACGCATCCTTTTCAATGTGACAACCAGTATAAACGCCGCTGAGCTCGACGATAAGGTCTTTTACGTAAAGGTTAACTGCACACTCATACCGTGCCCTGTGGGTTGGACAACTCATCTGATTTTGCGGACTGCAAAACTACTCTTTTAGGAGTAATATGACTTCCACTGCTACACAGGCGTTGCTGCGCACAAGACTTATTAAAAGTTTGACAAGTCATGGAGACACGCGTATATTGGTGTTTTTCGTGTTTTTCGATCAGTACAGTACTTGACAGTCTACTTAATACGTAATATCGCACTTTTAGTCTAGAGCCCACTTCTGAAATCAAACTGGGTGTTTTATAGTTTTATA